CCCCCCCGCATTCTACCTAGCAATAACAATTTTCATAATTAATATGTGCAGAGATGTGGGAGATTGGATGACCAAATAAAGCTGTTGAGGCACAAGTTGTTTTTGATACAACAAGGTTTGGCCTTTAATGGGAAGCGCACCAAGACAGCGAGATCCCAGGGGAAGAAGTTTCAGGTTTCTGTGGAGCAAGAAGCAACTAGATTACTGGTAAATAACACAATTCTGAGACTTTTTAAATTCTTAGTCTTTTGGTCTTACACACAATATAAGATAAAAATCAAGTCTTTTTATTATATCTTTCAGGGGAATTTAGGGTGGGCGCTGATGCAGCAAAATAACTACATTGAAGCAGAAGATGCTTATAGGAGAGCACTAGTAATTGCACCAGACAACAACAAGATGTGCAATTTGGGCATTTGTTTGATGAAACAAGGGAGAGTTGGCGAGGCGAAAGAGACACTTCGGAGAGTTAAACCAGCAATGGTAGATGGCCCTAGAGGTGTAGATTCCCATCTCAAGGCCTACGAAAGAGCACAACAAATGCTCCGTGATCTCGAGTCTGAAATGATGAATAAAGGTGGTGATAGAATTGAACAAAGCAAGTTGTTTGATGCATTCTTGGGGTCTTCTGCTATCTGGCAGCCTCAGCCTTGCAAGGAACATAATAGCAGCACTTTGAGTAGTAATGCCAAGTCAATCCAACCTCAAGATGAATTTGCTAATGAGAACATCAATTCTACTAACATCATCACAAACCAGACAGTTCCTTCACTGCAAAAGAGTATGTTGAAACCATATATGAACCTCAATATCGACGCTCCACCATTTTATTCATCCAAGATTATGAAGGAGCCGGCGAGTACCCTGTTTCCAGAAGGTCTTAAAAGAACAAGATCTGGAAATGCAGCTAACTTTATGAGAAAAGAGTCTCAGGGAACATTCACAGAACCAGAGAATAAGATGAGAAAGCAGTCGATTTCACCAGAGAAAACAGAGGATAGATGGGCAGGGTTGCTGCCTGATAGCAAGGATTTTGAAGAGGCTATAATTGCTGCTGCTCTGGGCTCAAGTGAAGAAACATTCAAGCCTAAAGATAGTGGAATCCCTCCAAGGAAAGTTGACAAAAGGTTGAGGGTTTTTCAAGACATTACCTTGTCCATGAGTCCGCGAGCCTGACTAACATTATTGATTTTTAACTATGATTAGTAGTAATCTAATTGCATTTTTAAATTAAGTAAGATCATTGAATTTTAACAATCATTGGAGATAAACTTGTTCTCCTTTACTCATACTTCCTCGAGGAGGTCGTATGCAGTATGTTGGTAACACCCTAATGTCTTTAGGCAGGGTATAATTATTGTTACTTGGTGCCTTGGGAATTCAGGCATCTTCTATTTTTGCCTATATGGCAACTAATCTTCAATAAAAAAGTTATTTTTTCTCATGTAATTGGCTTATTTTCTGTTCTCTTTCCCGAGTGTATGCAAAATGTGATGCAATCTATGAACAATTCTTGCTCAGCCAGGAATAATTGAATAACAGAATTCTGAATATTTAAGTCACCAAAGGCACTTTTTTTATTACCAATACATTTGAGTAATTACACACTCAAGTTAATGATAAAACATGGAGAAGATTTATTATTAATGAAACATGGAGCTATATTCAATTTCCACTCTCTTTTTTATTGTTGTTCAGTTTCAGTTTACAATTTTTTACGTCTATTGAGTTCACCACCAATGTTACTGGAACTGGTGTGACGAATGCTTACTAGCTCTCCTCCTGTGGATTAGATAGAAGAAACTGAATATTACAACAGCGGCTGCAACAGCAACTCCGACAGCCCTTTGTGCCACCGGGGTGTTCTTCACTGCTGACGTGCCTTTTTCCAATGCGGATCTGCCTTTTTCCAATGTAGATCTGAAAAATGATGAATGTGGTAATCCAAGCTCTGACAGCTTCTTGTGTGACTCTATGTAGTCCCTGAAGAAAGCCTCTTTGTCCTGTCACAGAAATAAGAGTAACAGAAATAACATCAGAAAACTTATGAGTAAGACTGTTTAGCTGGAAGGTTTTAACAATAATGCAGCTCTTATGGTTACAGCAGATGTGCATACTGTTAATCAGAAGAAAGTTCTCAAACAGTATCGTCGCTTTCTCGTGAGACAAGCAATTCCATTTATTTGCTTACTCATGAGAGTAACACATCTACCCTAAGTTGCGATATATTCCAGTGGCATTCCCATAATGTGGGTTTTTATGCTTGTCAAACCACCAAAAGGACATAATGGTCTACCGCACAAAATTGCCTAGCAATCAATGTTGAGACGTGCTGGACTTATCATCCATGTGAGTTATAGTAGCTCTGATACGCGACCAAAAGTTGCAGGGTGGTAGATGTCGCATGTAAGAGAAGCAAAGACATGGTCACAAACATGAAAAGATAAAATCTCCAGTTACTTAGCTGGTCTTGCTGGTTTTATAGTGTTACTTTCCTTCTTAAATGACACAAGTTGTATGATGACAGTTTCTGATGTGTTGCAATAATTGAACTATGACAATCCACATGGTATGAGCTATATTAATAATACCTTTGCATAAAGTTGCACATAGCCGCGGAATTTTGTATCTTCAAGTAGAGCTTTATCAGTGGGAAGTAATTGCAAGAGACTTGAATCCTGCTTGAGGAGCTCCCTAAGAGATCATCGTATCATTTGGGCAAATAAAAATGAGAATTTTTCTTTTTAATCAAGGGCGAAATATAAAAGAAGTCAGAATGTATAGTAAATCATACACAAAGTATGAGTTGTCAAATTCAGGGCCCCCAACTCCAAAGGTCTTCGAATAAGCCCTTTTAGCCTGCAGCAGCAAACCAAAAAGAGGAACATTAAGCCAAACTGCACATATGTCTGAGAAATATCAGTATCTTGATGCAGATCCATAGTAATCCATATATAGTAATACCAGTTTGAGGCCTGCAGATAATGCTACTATATCCTTGTCCCCAGAGAGTCCCATTCTGTGAAAGACTTCCCTTAAATCCGATGGACCTAAAAAAAGTATCAAGAAAAGGAACACAGTAAGCGATACAAGACGTGCGGAGGAATATAGCACTGAGCCCTATAAATTTATGCCAAATATTATAATTTCTCCAGGGTTACTGATAACAGTTGTAGCAATATTCACGATATTAGCAATCCAATCCAGTTCATGGTCACTGTTTATAATATTGAAGAGCTTCACCAGTTGGAATATGCTTCTTCTTTTTTTGCCTTTCTCAAAAGTTCTAAAAAATAAATGGAATTGCAAGTGGAACGCGCTTAGAAGACTATGCAATTAGTGCAAATCACAAAGAAAGTATAAGAAACTAAAGAATGTCATCTCCAAGATTATCGACATGTAACCGGATACATAGATGCAGAACGAAGCAAGAACTAAAATAGGCATCAAATATAGCATAACGAAGTAAATGGAATGATAAAGCTTTCATTTATGCACTGAATCAAATCCTCATTAGTTTAACTGAAATGACAGAATATTGATCAGCAAAGTCAACATTTTTCAGCGGAATAACCTTGTTTGCCATCAGGAAGGCACCCTTCATTTGGTGAAATTGATGAATCCTGGTATAAATTAAAGGTGGAAGTTAGTAGTGAAGATAAGTAAGTTCATTTACATGGATTAAAAATAAATAAAGGAATTATTTAATTGTTCATCCTTCCTTTGCATACCTTTCTACCAGGAACAAATTCGATTATTGGACCACCAAGTGCTTTAACAGCAACAACCCCAGCAAGCTGCACTCCCAAATAAAAAGGTACTCCACTAATTAAGCAAAATGTCTATTCTATAAGAACCAGTATATTTTTTTCTCTTTTTAAACACTAGCATGCATCTGGCATTAATTAGCAAACCCCTACTTATCACAAAAATTAAGCAGCCCCTTCTCCAAAATAAAAGGGCAGCCCGGTGCACAAAGCATTCCGCGTTCACGCAAGGTCCAGAAAAGGGACGCACCATAAGGGGCTATAATATAGATAATTTACCCTGATGCAAGCATCAGCGGTTGATTCTATGGCTCGAATCCGTGACCTAGGTCACACGGAGACAACTTGACAATTGCTCCAAGGCTTCCCTTCCCCTTCCTCAAAATGGACAACAAATTATTGACACAAGTATCTCACCTGATAAAGGTCAGGATACGTTATCGTGGGATGATTGACCTTGATATTTTCTGCACTCCAGATAAAATATATATAAGGCATTAATTAATTGGAAGTTAGTATTAACAAAAGAACTACCTAATATATAAACAAAAGATAGGCATTGGAGTATGCCGTATTCAGAAGACAATGCCCGGATTATCTTTGGACAAAATTAGAAAGGAAAAAAGATTGCCTGCTTCTTGAAATGAGTAAGATGACTAATTAAATTCTTCAACGTATAAACTTTTGTTTTTCGAAAAAAAGACTTTCTAATCCTAAGGAGAATTTTCGAATATAATCGAATGATCAACTTTTCATCTTCAAATGAAAAGTCCACAAAGGTAAACATAACAAAACATTAATTAGTAGCTGCAAAGATCCACGAGCAGGCAAAAATGTTCATGTACTTTAAACGGAAATCAATTAAGAAACAAACCGTTGCACTAAAAATTGATTTTATCAATGAGAATATAAATTTGGTGGTAAAGGCCAAAAATGAAGCTCACCAATTGCTGTTCTGAGATCATTATTGGCAGCTTGAGTCTTTATTTTAGCATCAGTAGTAGACGTAGTAATTCCTGCATCAGAATTGGCGGCAGAAGAAATTGAGAATTGGCAAGCGTACGCTAAACGAAGCAGATCACGAGCACTGTACTTGTTGCTGGCTATAAGATTTTGAAGCTCTATTCGTGCTCTCTCTATCTCATTCCTATACTCCGCATCTACTACTGGTACTGCCATTGATTTATATATAATACTAATATGATACACTGAAACTTTATATTTCTATATATATGCCAATAGAGGTCGATTGTGACCTTTTCTTCTAATTTTGATGAATGAATAATTCAATGTTATGAAACGAGGATTATGTATAGAGCAATATATAGGGAGGGGAATTTTATAAGCATGAAGTGAAGAAGCAACGAATATGGAACAACAAAAGAAACGAATTTGTTATTTTGCTTCTTCTAATGACACTGAACGTGAATAACATGGAGGGGGCAAATCCGGAAATAAATCGTGCTACGTGTGATGTGGGTCTTTTATTGGAAAAATAAGGAATATCTATATTACTCGATAAGTTCACCATTGAATGACAGTCAAAGCTTTGCTATTCAAAGCTTTGTTATTGGAAGACTAGAAGTTCACCATTGAATGTCATTCAAAGCTTTGCTATCGAAAATATAATTTTTTGAGTTTGTTAATTGTTCGGATTGGGTGTTGTTCCAATTGATTGAAAATATCAAAAGGAGTTCAAAATTTAAATTTGAAGTGATTTGGAGTAGATTTGAGCAAGATTTGAGTTAAATTTCAAAAAAGACGCAAGGAAGAAGACGAAGTCAGTTTTTTGTATAATTATGGATAATCTTGTATAATAGTGTATATGAGTGTACAAACACATCTTATACACTTTTATACACCTTTATACAAGCGTCTATAGACGAACTTCTTCCACGATTTTTAATTGTAATTCTTGTTCAAAACCAATACAAATCTCCATTAAATGACTTCAAATTTTATATACAACCTCCTTATCATTACTAAAAATTATCTGTTTATCGACGCAAATTACACACGGACGTCTCTCGGTAGCAAGGCTTTACCGAAGGAAGTCCGTCGGTAAGTGGTAGGTAGGTAAATTCTTTTTCGGTAAAATAAACCGACAGAATCCCTCGGTAATTGCCGATGGACCCCATCAGAAAACCATCAGTACATTTCTGACAGTAGTTGGTCAAATAATTTTACTTACCGACAAATATATGTCGGTATATTATAAAATAATATTAATACCGACGGATATCCGTCGGTAAATTAAAAATAATAATTTAATATTACCGACGGATACCATCGGTAAATTTAGAATTTTAATTTAGTAATTTAAAAATTAAAAATATGAATAAATTCATATTCCGATGGATATCCGTCGGTAAATTAAAAATAATAATTTAATATTACCGACGGATACCATCGGTAAATTTAGAATTTTAATTTAGTAATTTAAAAATTAAAAATATGAATAAATTCATATTCCGATGGATATCCGTCGGTAAATTAAAAATAATAATTTAATATTACCGACGGATACCATCGGTAAATTTAGAATTTTAATTTAGTAATTTAAAAATTAAAAATATGAATAAATTCATATTCCGATGGATATCCGTCGGTATTTTCAACAAAATTTGAGGTTCAAGTCTACCGACGGACTCCCTCGCTAATTAAGAATTCTGGATTGAAAATGAATAAGTGTTCCGACGGACTCTGTAGGTAAGTCCCTCGGTAAATCTGGTACATTTTTTGCAGGGAGTGCTTATTTTTTGCTAGACTACCTGCCAGCCAGAATATTACAATAGAAACAGAAATGCAACCACAATAAAACACAAATTAACAACAACAACAAAATTTTATAAACTATCCAAACATCCAAATTATCTCATCAAACATCAAAACTATCCGGCCAAACTTCAAAATGTAATATTCAAAGTTAACATCCAACTAAACAACAATCCAACCAAATATAAAATCACTCCTCATCTTCTTCATCATTTATATTATTTCCATCACTTTCATCCTCTTCATAAATATGGCTTTTTGCGGAGAGCGGGGCAAGCCGATTAAGTGGTTCGCTTGAGCCTTGAGGGACTCGATGTCATTCCTAGGTGCGTCTCTAATCTTCTCTTCATGCTTTCTTTTTTCTCATTCATCCGCATAGTTCCTAGAAAGTTGTTGAATCGTTCGTCGCATCTCCTCAAAGTCCTCATTTAGTGTATAATTATTAATGTATAGGCTAATCAATCACTAACATTACTTATATAAGGATGCCACTAGTTCACTAATACTTAGTGTTATTATTAATGTATACAGGCTAATCAATCACTAACATTACTTATATAAGGATGCCACTAGTTCACTAATACTTAGTGTTATTATTAATGTATACAGGCTAATCAATCACCAACATTATTTACAAATATATTATTAATACACCTATACTTCGTGTAATTATCAATCTACAAGCTAAATACAACTAATACATGTTTACTTAGTATATTATCAATGTGTATGATAATTAATTATTAACGTTACTTAAGGACACCGTTAATACACTTCTTACTTACAGTAATTATCAATTTATAAGATAAACCATCACTAATATTTCTTACGAAAACGACTAATACACTTCTTCTTAGTGTGTAACTATTAATGTATAGGTTAATCAATGTAGTTAAGGATACTACAAATTCACTTTTACTTTGTGTAATTATAAATTACTAAGCTAATTACCACTAATATATTTTTAAGTAGTGTAATTACCTCCACTTAGTGTAAATTTCAATAAATAAGCTAATCAACCACTAAGATAGATAATTAAGTAACTACTTACCGAGGGACTTACCAACGGTCTCCTTCAATATGGTGTAATAAAAAATATAAAATAATTATGTATAAGATTATATATTTAAGTTACCGACGGAAATACATCGGTATTGTAAGAATAAAATTCAAAATATTATATAAATGCAATAACAATTGAGTAGCACTATAATCTTTATTTTCTTTTTTATTTATTTTTTTAAAAGCACCGAGAGACACCGTCGGTATCTAAAAAATAATTCAAAAATATAAATACAAAATGTTCCGAGGGAGTCCGTCGGTAAAGTACCGACAGAGTGCATCGGTACAACCAATTAAATTTTGATCGGTCAAAGTATCATTATTTACCGAGAGTTGTCCGTCGGTTATTTTTTTTTTTAAAAATAGAAATTAAAAAGTTCAAAAGTTCCGAGGGACTCCGTCGGAAAGTCCCTCGGAATAGCGACGGAAAAAAGTCCGGCGATACTGCTGCGTCGGTAAACAACTATTTTTTAGTAGTGATATATACTATTTCTAACAAGTCTAAATAACACTCACTCCAAATTTCTCACAAAATCAAATTCGGAATTTAAACCCACATATTTAAGCTTGTTAAAAATTTAATTTTCACCACCCAAATGGATTTGGTTTGTTGAACTAATATTTGAGTCACAGAGTCCAAAATTAACTTAAAAGCTTGAGCAATTTTTTTAAAAAATTAAATAGTAATTTTAAGAACCTATTGAATATGGATGTTGGGTCTTAGCCTATTATTTTTGGGCTAGTTGTAAATTGAAATGCGGACTATAAAATTGAAAAGTGCGGATCTCAGTTGTTCTTATGTGGAATTTTCCCTAACTTTTTTAGTTATTCGNGTCAATGTTGTTTGGCTGTCAAAGTTTAGTGTTTAACTTTTGTGTTTGTCGCTGTCGTCGTTAATGTCTAATTAGAGTGTCGTGGCTATTCATATGATAACACTAGGATTTGTGAGCCGCTAAGTTTTTTTTTTTTTTTTTTTTTTTTTTTTTTTTTTTTTTTTTTGCTGTTTAAAATCAAATTTTAAGTTTCATTGAGTGTACAGCATCAAGAGGAGTAGGAAAATCTTTTTAGAATATCAGCAGGGATAATAGAGCAGCTACTTCGATTTCTCGTCTCACACTATCATGCAGGTTTTTGTATGAACAAGAATTAGATAGTTTTCGTTGGATGGATGTACTCGGATTAAAGGGATATAAAAAAAAATTATAACAAAAAAATATTTTTAAAAGTGTCATACAAAATTTCAAAATTAAGGCTGAAATTACTCTAACTTGAGTTAGCATCTCAGACCAAAATTTTCTTAGTTAAATACTCATAGGTGTAAAGAATTTAACTTGAAGTTTGAAATACATTAGCCAAAACATTTCATGCAAGCGGAGCAGTGGGAGTCGTTTTATTCCTAGATAGTTATGCAGATATTATAGTATGAGATTATTATTATTATTATTATTATTATTATTATTATTATTATTATTATTATTATGTGATGAATAACTTAAGCATGTGTTAGTAATACATAGTTTAATAACTTAAGCATGTATTAGTAAGATATAGTTCAACACTGCAAACCGACTGTTGAATTAGTTGCACAAATTTTATAGGTATGGTGTTTCGTAGTGAAATCTACTTGTTCAGGTTGCTTGCCATGTTCTAATAAACATGTAATGACTAAGACATTCTTTTATACCCGAAAGAATGCCTTATGTAAGTTGGAAATAAAAAAAATGCCTTATGTAAAATAAAGTTAGAAATATAATTGTTCAATGCGTAATGTGAAAGTATTACTTAGTATAAAAAACACCCGTTTTATCCCTCGCAATAGTAAATAATCCGTTTATGATGATATAAACTCCATTAGAGATTGGACTAAAACTACTCATTTTGTTTAATTGAGGATAAATTTGATTAGTCAAAACCACCTCGTTTCATCCTAGTCATGCCCCAAATTTCCAAATTACGAAAGTACAATAAGCAAACAACTAGAATGGTCGATCGCATTGATGGGACTGAAACGACCCCTTTTTGAAATTGATTCAAGCATTTAAATTAAACTAAAGGCTATTTACGATATTTCAATCGGGTTTTTGATTTGCGACTTCTCTCATATATAAGATTAAAAGTACAACAGTGTCTCCTATTTCCTTTTTGCAACAAATTATCATAGGTGACAATTAGTAGAAAACAGAGGGTTAAGAGTGTGATGCCATTATGAGGAATATATTTGAACCATAAGTGGAACTATGTATAGTTCAAATTCGCCAAAGGCATGTTATTCTATACTTGAGTAGCTACGAGCAGCACATCCCAAGATTTATTGATGAAAAATAACGAAATACAAGGATCATCTTTGCGGTGTCAGTAACAATCATCAATCTAGTATATGCCATTGTAATTATGGAGCTATTCAGTTGCCAATTTGCTTTCAATTGAGTCCGCCAATGTAATGGAACTTGTGTGCTTGCCTATGCTTAC